CATCTTGACTGCAACCTATGAGAGATCCTGAGCCAGAACCACCCAGTTAAGCTCCTCCTGGATTCTTAATCTAGAGAAACTGTGAGATAACAAATGTTTATTGTTTTAAGATGCTAAATTTTGAGTAGGATGATCAACTGTCCAGATTTTACCAGAATTGAAGGGTTTCCTGGAATATGGGATTTTCCATGGTAAAACGAGGGAAGTCCTGGGCAAACTGGGATAGTTGGTCACCCTCATATTTTTTAATAGCTTTACTCAGATATAATTCACATACGATAACATTCATTCATTAAAGTTTCAATACACTCAGAGCTGTGCAACCATCACCACAATCCAATTTTAGAATCTTATAAAGAAATCCTGTGGTCTTTAGCTATCATCCCTCAGTCCCACCATCCCCCCAGCCCTAGGCAACCACTAATCTACTTTCTGTCTCTAGTCACCCTAGTTTTGAGAGTAATTTATTATACACAATGGATAATTAATATGGATAATTAATATCCATATAATTGATATGGATACTGGGATGAAGGATGCATGCTTTTTTTTTTTTAATTTTATTTTTATTTATTTTTTCCCCCAAAGCCCCAGTAGATAGTTGTATGTCATAGATGCACATCCTTCTAGTTGCTGTACGTGGGACGCAGCCTCAGCATGGCCAGAGAAGCGGTGCGTCGGTGCGTGCCCGGATCCGAACCCGGGCCGCCAGCAGCGGAGCACGCACACTTAACCACTAAGCCACGGGGCCAGCCGGATGCATGCTTTTTCATTACTCTTTTACTTTATACTTCTCTGAATTTTGCAAATTTTCTACAATAAGCATATTTTCATTTAATACAAGAAAAAAAGTAGTAATATTCTAATTTATTGAAAAGATGATATAAGATTTCGTGGAACTGTTGTTTTGGTCCACCCAGTATCCTTCTCCCTGTTCTTCTGGTAACAACACTACCCTTTCCCTTAGGGAAGTACCTTTCCCTGACTCCAGATTGTTCTGATGTGGTTGCCCATTAAATGACAAGGTGGATACTCGACTCAGGTTAGAATGATCAGATTTTCTCTTGCAACAATTTTTTTTTATTGAGGTCACATTAGTTTATAACATAGTGTAAATTTCAGGTGTACATCATTATATTTCAGCTTCTGTATAGACTGCATCGTGTTCACCACCACCCAAAGTCTAGTTTCCATTCATCACCATACATATGTGCCCCTTTACCCCTTTCACCCTCCCCCCACCCCCTTCCCCTCTGGTAACCACCAATCTGTTCTCTGTATCTATGTTTGTTTATTGTCCACATATGAGTGAAATCATACAATATTTGTCTTTCTCTGACTTATTTCACTTAGCATAATACCCTCGAGGTCCATCCATGTTGTGGCAAATGGCACCATTTCATCCTTTTTTATGACTGAGTAGTATTCCCTTGTATATATATACCACATCTTCTTTATCCATTCATCCGTTGATGGACACTTGGGTTGCTTCCAAGTCTTGGCTATTGTGACTAATGCTGCAACGAACATAGTGGTGCATTTATCTTTTTGAATTATTGTTTTCATATTCTTTGGATACTCTCTTCCAATAATTTGAATCTTGAGTAGAGGCACATAGGGATAGAAAGCATTTAAAAACAAGCCATCATGAGGCAGAATCCTAGAGAGCTGGTTAGGGAACTTTTGTTTCTAAGATCTCTGTAACCTTCCTGGTTCCCCTTCCTTCCTCTTGGGCATTCAGTAATTCCTTTGATTCTGTAAGTTATTCCTCTATGCCTCCATAAATCTGTTTTTTATTTAAATTAGTTTCTGTTGCTTGCAACAAAAGAACTCTAACTGATCCAAATAATAATAACTCATGAGGAAGGGGGAGAGGTTTATCCCCTCAAAAAAAAAAAAAAACCATAAATCTATCACTCCAACACAACAGTTTTTTATTTTTTCATATTACCTATTGGTTTACTTTTACATAGTTAGAATCATGGTGTACATATTATTTTACATTTCAATTTTTCTACTTAACATTGTACCTGCAAAAATTTTAGTGTTTCTACAATGTCTATTCATTTTTAATCTATGTTATTATCTTGTACTGGTATATCCACAATTGATTAAATCTTGATCCAGTGGTTGGATATTTGAGTTGATTTTAGTGTTTTGCTAGCAGACATAATGTTTAAAAGGAACATTTTCACAGCAAGCTTTGTGCTTCTGTTGAGTTCTTTCTTTCCTTAGGATAAATTTACAAAATTGAAAAATGGATCTGCTATGGTGTTGTCCTTGTTTCTTTCATGTATTTGATATGTTACTTTGTAAAGTGAAAGGTGCTTTTGTGCTACAAGTAATTTTCTGTTTGGTCTGTTTGGATTTCCATTTGTAAGATATTTAGATTGGGAAAATTCAGATGAATACAATTTACTTGGTTATAAATTATGCTCTATGTTATGACTGTTATAAAAGTATTCACATGATTATAACTTTTTAAATAAACCTTTTATTGAATACAACATACATAAATAAAATGGCACAAATCATAAAGGTAGAGTCTCAATGAATTTTCACAAAGTGAAGACACCCATTTAATCAGTATGAAGAGCAAGGCCTACTGGCACTCTAGAAGCCCCCTTCCCACTCAATTATAACCTTCTGTCAGATAACCACAATCCGGACTTCTAGCACCATAACTTAATCTCTTTTGTTTTTGAACTTTAAATAAATGTGCCCTTTTGGGTACGGTTTCTTTCACTCAATATTATGTTTATAAGTTTCATCCATGTGTCACAGTAGTTCATTCATTCTCATTCTGTGTAGCACTGCATTGGACACACATAATTTATTTCTCTCTTCTACTATCAATGGACATTGGGTTGTTTCCAAATTTTTGGCTACTACAAATAGGACTGAAATTGCTGGGTCATAGGTTATTCACATATTCAGCTTTCTTAGAAACTGCCAAACAGTTTTCCAAAGTGATGTACCAATTTATATTCTTACCAGCAACACAGGAGAGTTCCAGTTGTTTCACATTTCTGATTTTAACCTTTGCTTTTTCATGTGTTTATTGGGCATATGGATATTCTCTTTTTTGTACCTGTTCAAGTCTTTGACCCATATTGGGGGTCAGCTTTATTGAGATATAATTTTCATATAATGAAACTCACCAATTTTAAGAGTACCAGTCTATGAATTTTACAAATGCATTCTATAATATAACCATCATGACGATACAGAATATTTCCAGTACCCCAAAAAGTTCCTCTTTGTCCTTTGAAGTCAATTTCCTTCTCCCTCTTCCTGACCACTGGCAACACTGATATACATTCTGTCATGATACCTTTGTCTTTTCAATAATTTCACATAAATGGAATCATTCAGGAAATAATCTTTTATGTCTGGCTTCTTTCACTGAGCATAAAGCTTCTGAAATTCCATCCACGTCATTTCCTGTTTCAGTAGTTTATTGTCTTTTTTTAAATTATTATTGCTGTATAGTATTCCATTGTATGGATATGCGACAATTTGTTTATCCATTCACCTGTTGACGGACATCTTGTGGTTTCCAGTTTTGGGCCATTATGAATAAAGCTGTAATGAACATTCAAGTACATGTGTTTGCATATACATGTTTTCTTTTCTCTTAGGTAGGTATCTAGGAGTGTAATTGCTAGGCCCTCTGATAAGAGTATGTTTAACTTTATAAGAAATTGTCAAAGTTTTCCAAAGTGACTATATCATTTACATTTCTACCAGAAATATATGAGTGTTCCAGTTGCTCTGCATCTTTGCCAACACTTGGTACCATCAATGTTGTTAACGTTAACCCTTCTAGTGGGTGTGTAATGGTATCTCATTATGGTTTTAATTTCCATTTCCTTGATGACTAGTGACGTTGAGCATCTTTTCATGTGCTTATTGCCATTCATGAAATATCTATTCAAATCTTTTGCTCATTTTATAAGTTGAGTTTTTTGTGTGTGTGTGAGGAGGACTAGCCCTGCGCTACCATCAGATGCCAATCCTCCCCTTTTTTCTTGAGGAAGATTGGCCCTGGGCTGACATTTGTGAGCATCTTCCTGTACTTTATATGGGAAGCTGCCACAGCATGGCTTAACAAGCAGTGCATTAGTGTGCGCGCCTGGGATCCGAACCTGTGAACCCCAGGCCACCGCAGCAGAGCACACGCACTTAATCGCTGTGCCACCGGGCCAGCCCCTATAAGTTGAGCTTTTATTTTAATTTGAGTTCCCATTGAGTGGTAAGAATTCTTTATATATTCTTGATACAAGTCCTTTATGAGGTATATGTTTTACAAATATTTTCTTCCAGTCTGTGGTTTGAGTTTTCATTTTCATAACAGTGACTTATGAAGAGCAAAATTTTTTATTTACATGAAGTCTAATTTATCAATTTTTTCTTTTGTATTTCATGCTTTTTGGGTCCTATTTAAGAAATATTTGCCATATATAAGATCATAAATATTTTACTCCTTGTCTTATTTTAATAGTTTGTTCATAGATGCATGCTGTGTCATGTAATAACAGTTTTAATTCTTCTTTTAACATCTTTACTATTTTTTCTTGTCTTATTTTACTGGATAGGATCTCTAGTACAATGTTGAATAGAAATAATAATAATAGGCACCCTTATCTCATGCCTAATCTCAGGAGAAAAGCTATTATTATTTCACCATGAGAGATGATATTTGCTAGAGGTTTTTTTAGACACTCTATAAAATAGGACCCAGTTCTCTCACTGTCAGAAAAGGGAGTTTAAAAATATGGGAATGTGGAAAACTAGGATGAACACTATGATGTTGTATTGGAATGAGAGATATCCAAATAAAAGTATGGTTTTACATATAGATATAGATATGAATATAAATATAATTACATCTGTGTATATAAATGTCTACGTATTTATATACATATGTATTTCCTAGCTCTGAACATTGACATCACAAGAATAATAAGCACACCTAGCACCTAAATCTTGGGTTCTAAATATTATTTAATATCATTCTCCAATAAAAGGAATCAGAGCTCCTTGGGAAAATGGCTGATTTCACACTTGGGGCAGGGACAGTATAAGATAAGCCTGGAATATCTTGTTGTTCCAGAGAGTGAGGAAGTGCTCCAAAAAATGATAAGGACATGTCAAAAGGACACAGGAACCAGCCTGAAGGGACTTCAACTCATCAAACCTGGGATAATTTGAACATCAAAACAAGTACTAATAGTAACAAGTTACAACCCATTGAATAAAATAAAAATCCATGGGTTAATATTAATATGAATTTGAAAAGATTAAATAAACCTGTAGATAGATGGACAAATAGATGGGTAGATAGAAAGAGGGAAAGAAAAGTTCTTCTTTATACTAGAATTCTAACTAATAAATATATAAGGAATGATTGGATTAGAAAATCATCATTTTGCAATCATCATAGTATTTATTAATTCAGGAAGGAATCATCAAAAGATGTTAAAAATTAGTGGGTGAAAATTTAGTGAAACACAGGATATTTACATAGTCTCAAAACATCTCCACACAAAATACTTTTCTTTTTTTTCTGAGTAAGATTGGCCCTGAGTTAACATCCATTGCCAATCCTCCTCTTTTTTTGCTTGAGGAAGATTAGCCCTGAGCTAACATCTGTGCCAATCTTCCTCTATTTTTTTGTATGTGGGACACCTCCACAGTGTGGCTGGTGAGTGGAGTAGGTCCGCACCCGGGATCCAAACACGCGAACCCAGGCTGCCGAAGCAGAGCATGCAGAACTTGAACCACACGGCCACACGGCTGGGCCCCCAAAGTACTTTTAATTTCATAGGGAAAATAGTAATTTTACAATAGAGGAACCTGACTAGGTTAAAGTCAACATAACCAGTAATGGGACAAACCAACACCATGGCGATCCTGATGTGATACAATGACACACATATAATATCATATCTGTGGTATTCCCGCCAAAAATGCATTATCTGAATCTATTTGTGAGGAAACATTAATTGAACCCAATAGTGGTATATTCTACATAATAACAAGCTTATACTCTTCAATATCACGGTCATAAAATAAAAAGTCAAGATAATGAACTATTTTGGATTTTAAAAGACTAACGTGACATGACAACTAATGCAATGTGTGATCCTGGATTGGGTCTGGGACCAGAAAAAAAAATTTTTTTTAAATTATAAAAGATAGTATTAGGAAAATTGGTGAGATTTAGTAAGGTCTGTAGATTATATTATAATATGATATCAATGTATCCTGATTTCAGCAGTTTTACTGTGGTTTGTAAGTGAATTTCCTTGTTCTTAAAAAATACATACGGAAGTATTTTAGGGATAAAGAGATTTCACGTCTACAAATTACTGTTTTTTTTTTTTTTGTGAGGAAGATCAGTCCTGAGCTAACAACCATGCCAATCCTCCTCTTTTTGTTGAGGAAGACTGGCCCTGAGCTAACATCCATGCCGATCTTCCTCCACTTTATATGGGACGCTGCCACAGCATGGCTTGAGAAGTGGTGCATTGGTGCACGCCCGGGATCTGAACCCAGGCTGCCAGCAGCGGAGCGCGCGCACTTAACCGCTACACCACAGGCCGTCCCTACAAATTACTCTTAAACAGCTCAGAAAAATAATATAGATAGAATAAAATTTATAAAACAAATGTGACAAAATGTAAACAATTATAGAATCTTAGTGAAGGATGTACAGGAGTTGTTTCTTTTTTTTGCAACTTTTCTGTAACTCTAAAATTATTTCAAAACAAAAGACTACCAAAAAGAGAAGAAATTCCTAGCTTGCTAAGAGTTTTAAATCATGAATGGATGTCAAATTTTATCAAACTCCTTTTCAGTATCTATAAGGATGATCATATACATTTTCTTTTATTCTATTAATTGGGTATATTAATGTTAAATTGACTATTAATGTTAAACCAACCTTGAATGCTTGAAATAAACACACATTTTATATATTATATATTATTGAATTTGTTTTGCTGATATTTAATTTAGAATTTTTTTCATCTCTGATAAGAGAGAGACTGGTCTGTAATTTTCCTTTCCTATAATGATGTTCTCAGGTTTGGGGATCAACATTTTATTGGCCTGATAAAATGAGTTGGTATTTCCTTATCCTATTCTCTGAAAGAGTTTGTATAAGATTGGTGTTATTTCTTCCTTAACTGTTTGGAGGAATTTACTGGGGTCATCAGAATCTAGAGATTTATTATGTGATGATTTTTAATCACTATTCACTTTCTTTAGCAGATATAGAACTATTTCGTTTTCTATTTCTTTGGTGTCACTTTTTGTAAGTTGGGCTGTTCTAGAAATCTCCCATTTCATCTAAATTTTCATATTTATTGACATTAAGTGGTCTAAAATATTTTCAACTTTGTAATATCTGTAGGATCCATAGTGATGTTTCTTTTTTAAAGCCTGATAGAGGTAATAGGTACTCTTTTTGTTTGTTTTTGTTTCTGTTTTGCATGTGTGATCAGTCTTGCAAGAGATTTATCAGTTTTATTATTCTTTTCAGTGACTCTTCTCTACTGTACATTTCTTTCATTAATTTTTTTATCTTCACTTTACCAATACCTTTTTTATACTTCATTCAGGTTTAAATGGTTTTTTTCTAAATGCTTGAGATGGATATTTAGGTAATTCTTGTTTAAAGCCATAAATTTCAGCCCTTAAGCTTCTAAATTTCCCAATAAACATAGTTTTACCTGCATCTGAAAAATCTTGATGCATCATATTTTTATTGTGATTTAGTTCAAAATATTTTCTAATTTCCATTGTGATTTTTTTCTTTGACTAATAGATTAGAAATATATTGCTTAATTTCTATGTGTTTGGGAATTTTGTAGTTTTAAAAAAAATTATTGAATGTTAGCCTAATTCCCCTCTACTGTATGATTGAAATTTTTTAAAATATGGTGAAGCTTGCTTTATGGCCCAAGTTATTGTCACTTTTAGTAAATGTTCCCTGTTCACATGAAATGAAAGTGAATTCTGCAATTGTTGGGTGAAATATTACATATGTATCGATTAAATCAATTTTTTTAGTTATGTTGTTTAAATGTTGTGTATCCTTACTAATTTTTGTCTCCTTGTTCTATCAGTTACGGAAAGATATGTTAAAGGCTCTTACTGTGATTGTAGATTTGTCTATTTTTCCCCACAGTTTCAGCAATTTTTTTGCTTTATGTATTTTGTAGTATATTGCTAGTTGTGTAAAAAATTAGAATTGTTGGGGTTGGCTTGGTGGCATAGTGGTTAAGTTCATGTGCTCTGCTTTGCTGGCCCGGGGTTTGTGGGTTTGGATCCTGGGTGTGGACCTACACACTGCTCATCAAGACTTGCTGTGGAGGCATCCCACATACAAAACAGAGGAAGATTGGCACAGATGTTAGCTCAGGGCCAATCTTCCTCACAAAAAAAAAAAAAAGTAAAAAAAAAATTAGAATTGTTATTATAATCTTCCTGATGGGTTAATATTTTTATCACTGTGAAATATCACACTTTATTTCTAACAATGCTTCTTTCCTTAAAGTCTGCTTTGTATGTCATTGTATAGCTATACCAGCTTTCTGTGGGTCAGTGTTTGCATAAAATGTCTTTCTATTCTTTTACTTTTAACTTTTCCGTGTCATAATTTTAGATTATAACTCTTGTATGTTTTGTAAAAAGCATATAAATTTTTTAAGCCAGTATGATAATCTTTGTTTTTTAATAAAATATTATGTCATTTATGTATATGGTAATTAATGATATATTTGGTTCACAGCTTAACATCTTACTATTTTGTTTTCTATTTATCTCACTTGTTGCTTGTTCCCTTTTATCTTCTTTCTTGCCTTCCTTTGGCTGAATTGAGTGTTTTCTTTATTATTATTATATTGTCTCTCTTTTACTATATATACATTACATTGTTTATACATATTTTTCCTCTTCTCTTAGTAGTAACCCTAGAGTTTACACCATGTACCCTTGACTTGTTTCAGCTTAGTATAAATTAATACTTTTACTACTTCTGAGACAAGATATCCTTGCTGGCATCTCTATGAGAGATCTATACCATTCTGATCTGTTATTTGGGAGTGGACAAAGGTCCTCCACCATTTATGGAAACTGACACTTGTCTGGTTCTCTCCTCCTTCCAGGTTCAAGAAATCCAAATTCTCCTGAAGTCAAGTCATTCCTATTTTCTTAGAGCTCTTCCCCTTCCAGGAAATTGAGTCTTCTGCTTCCCTGAGGCTTTAGAAAATCACCACATCTTAATTTTCCCTCTAGAGAGGAGAAGGGAAAAATACTTTTCCTTTTTCCATATTAAGCTCATAGGCCACAAAACAAGACATGATTTCCTAATCAACTTATCCTGCCATACCTACTAATATTATTTGGGTTTTGTGGCCTTGACTTGGAATCTAACCATAATTAATCATACTATTTCCATGGGAAATTAATTCCAAGTTACAAACACTTATCCTTTAGGGAACTTTGAGAACCCAATACATTCATTATATATATTCTCTGTATAACAATACTTTTCTTGCTTCTCCTGATTTAGAGAAAGGAAAAATTACAGAGATCAGTGATAAGGCTCATCATTGCTATAGGAATACTCTGGTTACTTTGCTTTAGGGCTTTGCTTCAACATTAACACCACAAATGATGGGAACATGAGGGAATGATTTTTGTGTTTTTAGTTTTCCTTGCCAGGACATAAATGATGTAGAGATAGAGAGGGGTAATAATTTCAGAGATATAACCTTCCTGAGATAAACTGTGGAGTTAAAAATTCAGTCATAAATACAGATGTAGGTAAGGTTTTTTTTTTTTTTTTTTTTTAATTTTTTTTTTTTTTTTTTTCCCCCAAAGCCCCAGTAGATAGTTGTAGGTCATAGCTGCATATCCTTCTAGTTGCTGTATGTGGGACGCGGCCTCAGCATGGCGGGAGAAGCGGTGCGTTGGTGCGCCCCCCGGGGATCTGAACCCGGGCCGCCAGCAGCGGAGCGCGTGCACTTAACCGCTAAGCCATGGGGCTGGCCCAGGTAAGGTTTAATTTAGGGAACTATATTTTGAGTGTTGTAGCACTTAGGCGAAAGAACCACAAGATAGTGGCCTGGTTTAATAAAACATTACAAAGGAACATTAGGAAACTCTCCAGGGACAAAGTGGTGCTAGTTTTGACCTAGACCATAATAGTAACTGCTTTTGCTAAAAGTAACCATACTGATTCCTAAATTTATCTCATTCTGTGATACCCAACTTTCCATTCTGAGGAGAGACAAAGTAGTCCAGACCTCTTACCATTCCCTGTGCTCTTTAGCTTTCATCCTGGACTAGTATAGCCTAACCTCTCACTCTGAGGTTTCAGGTAAGGTGGTTGCCTCAAGTACTAAGCACTTTTTACAAGATGGACTAAGGGTGAATTGAACTCAAAGTAATTTTTTTTTTCTCCAAAACCCTCTCCTAATTTCAAAGGTGGAACATCTTTTGTTGTTTAGTTTCCCTGGGCCACCATTCCCATGTTTAGTCCAATAAATACTGGAGTGAAGGCAGAGAACAACAACAAGGTGTATTTGTGTGTGGTTATGTAGCATATCATAAGAGGAAATGTTTTTCCAAAAAAATTTCTAAGTTTGGCCTAGGATTGTCTGAAAATTGGAAATGATCTATAAAACAACCCCATAGTCATAAAATGAATTTTTTAAATTTGCTCTTTCCCATAAGAGATATTTCACATTTAATCATTCAAGAGCTGATTGTCCAGAATGTGTAATGTACAAACCCGTTATTTCTTCTTTTCCCTTCTGCTGCCTGATTTTTGGTCATTTCACAGCTCATTAGTATTCTCTCCCTGGGAAAATAAAAGCAAATGTAGCTCAAACTAGTATTTTCAACTTTCTATGTAAAGGTTTCGTAGGAAGAGTTATAATTATTGGTTTATATATCACTTTTCTTTGATAAGTATCTGGTTAGGCTCCACTTGGGCACTAGGGGAGAATTAAAGAAGTTTAAGACATTGTCTCTGCTCTTAAGGATCTTACAATATAATTGGGGAAATAAGGTTTGTGTACAGTAAAGTCAAATATTAACACAAGGCAATATATATTTAAACAACAACATGAAAGAAGTCTGGTCATACAAACATAGTGTAGAAGAGAACTTTATAGACCTATCACCGTTTAGAAAAGGGAGAGCATAGTATGGACTGATGAGATTGTCATAGAAATTCTCAATAAGGTAGTGAGATTTGAGCTAGATATCAAAGAATGGATGGAATTTCAACATCGGTAAAGGAAAAAAAAAAGACAATTCTGCATAAAGAAAAAACAACACAGGAAAATCGCAGAATTCCAGGGTCCATATACACTTTTAAATGAAATATTTCAAGTATACAGAGTATAGAGAAAAACATACTCTTTGGTCTTCCCCACCCAGCTTTGTCAAATATTTACTTGTTGTCATCTTTGCTTCAGATCCCCGCCCTTTTTTGGGAAAAAACAATACAGATTTGGCTAAAAGCTTCTGCATACTCTATCATTATTCTTCTTCTTTAGCAGAGGTAACAACTATCTTGAATTTGGAGTTTATCATTATAAGAATATTTTTATATGTTTATCACACATGGAAATATGTAGTATTATTTCATGTGTTTAAACTTAATGTAAACTGTAGCATACTTTATGTATTTTTTGCCACATTTTTTCACTAGATATTCTATTATTTGAGATTTATGCATATTCTTAGTTCCAGTTCTAATTCATTTATTTTAACTATGATGGAGTATTCCATTGTGTGATCATACAACAATTTACTTATCCATTCTCAGGTTGATGAACATTTAGGCTGTTTCCAATTATTTTCCTGTCATAGACAATGCTTCAAGGAACATTCATTTACATGTCTCCTTATGCATTTTTTTTGTGTGTGTGTGAGAGGAAGATCAGCCCTGAGCTAACATCCATGCTAATCCTCCTCTTTTTGCTGAGGAAGACCGGCTCTGAGCTAACATCTATTGCCAATCCTCCTCCTTTTTTTTCCCCCAAAGCCCCAGTAGATAGTTGTATGTCATAGTTGCACATCCTTCTAGTTGCTGTATGTGGGACGTGGCCTCAGCATGACCGGAGAAGCGGTGTGTCAGTGCGTGCCTGGGATCCGAACCAGGCGCGCGCACTTAACCGCTAAGCCACGGGGCTGGCCCCACTCTTATGCATTGAAGGGAGAGAGTCTTAGGTATATATGGAGAAGTGGAATTGTTAGATTGTAAGGGCATCTTTAGCTTTAATAGATATTGCAAAATTGCCTTCCAATATGGTTGTACCAATTTATTCTCCTGCCAGTAGTGTCCAGGAGCTCCCATATCTTCCTTACCTTTGCAACTCTGATGACTACATCATAGTCGTGGAATTGCCAGAGTACCCTGGAGTCAGTTCTTCCTGTAAACTAGCTGTCTTTGTAGGTGATGCTCAGTGTTGGATCTCACTATGAACCAGCCCAGCCCAAGCTAAGAGGGGATATCAAACCTCTGGGAGAGAATTGAGGAAGAGCAAAGAAAGGACTGGTGTAGTGGTTGAGGACTGGGTGCACATTTTATTCACTTTTGCATCCCCAATATCTAGTACAACCTGAAACTCCGTAATCAAGGCTCAGGAGATGTTAAATTGACTGAAACTAATTATAAACTCTGATCTGTTTCTGGCTTTCACTCCTCTAAGCTTCAATTTCCCCATCTGTAAATTACGGATGATAATAATTCAAGGAGTCATTCCAACGATAAAATGAAATATAAATGTGAAAACATTTATCAACTCTAAAAAGCAAGGCAAATTAAGTGATAAAAGATTTAAAAGCTGCTTCTGTGTCCTGACTTCTTAGATATGACCAGATAACATTTAAGCAGTTCAAAAGCATTGCCAAATTTCTCATTGGCATTTTCCTTGTAACCCTGATAAATCCTGGGATCCCGCATACCTCAGACTCTGCTCAGGATCACATGTAAAGATACACAGTAATTTTTAAAACGTATTCCAATCTTTACTTGCAGCTCTCAAGGAACATCAAAGAGGAACACATTTATGGCTACAGAGTCACCCTTGAATTCCATTCTGTTCTCTCTAGTCCTCAAACATAAACCCCAAACTCTAGGACCCAGTTTATTGGGCTTTTGGTTATTTTCTCTCTTCTCCCTTTCTTCTAACACCTTAAAGGTTGACTTAGCTCCTTTCTGGCTAAATTATCCCCCTTCTCTTCCCACTTCTCCACTCATCATGTCTCCCCTATCCTTTCCTTAAATTCCACATCACAAATATATCAAGGACAGGCTGGAAAACACTGCCGGGGGAAGAACGGATGTTTATATTTTAATAAATCATCCCACAGCATAAATTCTTGTTATGGGAGTCAGTAACATTATTTTCACTTTGAATGCTTAAAAAATGAGGTCCATAAACATTTTCTGCTCCTTTTAAGTGGCCCTTGTTTAAAAGAAAATGTTGCTTATCATTGTTCTATACTCTCAGACTCTCGCTTAGAGATCTCATGATTCTACCATCTTTATTTGTATGACTCAAATTTACACATCATGATCTAATTCCCTCTTGCACTTTCTAAATCTGTCACTATCTTTGCAGTGGCTTCTCCTTAATGCCCTCTCATCTCCTCAAACTCAACATGCCTAAAAGTGAACTCATATTCATTCCAAATTTAGCTTCCCCTCAGGACTTCCATATTTCCATTGTTGGCATTTTAAGAAGCATGTTTACTGGCCAGGTGTGGTATTACCAGAAGAGGAAGAGAATGGGGCCAGAGAGACTAATTAAGAAGCTTGCACCACGTAGCAGAAAACAGACTGCACTCAGATTTGCAGACATGTTGTTTTGGGTTTATTTGGAATGACTAGAGAGTGCTCTCCTTAGGTGAGAGGTAAACCCTAAATATTGGCATCAGCAATGTAAAAGTGTTATATTTTTAGGTATTAAAAATTTATACAAACATTTTCAGATATTGGTGTCCAGTTAACGGTTCTGACGTTGAGACAGAGCGAGACTGCCTGTAGTGGCTCCACACGTATACTTGCAAAGGCTATTCACAAATTTCATATAGTTGCTTAGCCATTTGTAAATAAAATAAAAAGCAGCGGGGAAATTTTCATGAGTTTCCTTCCTTTTGTTCCTTTACAGATGAGAACAAATTATTCCATCAACACATGTTTAAACTATTCTGATGGTATCAGATGCTCAGCTGGGAAAGTTCATACTACCAGATGAGTCCTAATTTAAACATATTTTTTTTTAAAAAGTATCTTTAAGTAACCCAGATGATCAGATTCCAGGCTGAAGTTTTGGCTTTAATACTGAGAAGAGGCACGCCTTGATCCAGATGGATCAAGCAAATGGATCCATTTCCTGGGGCAGAGATCTGGGACAGTTTGAGAAATGAGTTACCTTCACATCCGCCTTGAGCTATGAGCAGGGGGTAATGAATAATGGAAAACTCCTGGCACGTTATTTAAATTTATTTCCATTTTCTGTCTATTTTGACCAAGAAAAGCTCCAGTCCAGGTTTAAACCAAATTAGTGGATGTTTTTGTTTTTTTCCCAAAGAGATGAACTTTCTAGATCTATGAGCAGGTTGCATTCCTACAGGTTTTATCAGGAGTGGGGGTTGGAGTCCTCCTAAGGGAGTAATAGTAACTACAATAGAGCTTCTAAAGAAAAGGCCAGCAGGATAACACTCTGGGCAGTAATCTTCTCTGGAAAAACAGTGTATGTAACCACATTTGTTCTGTGCCAACTCAGTCTGGCCTCACTCTGTATTTGGGAACTAGGGTACAGGGCAATATCCTTTAACTGGGGACATCTAAGAGGAATTTTAGGCTACATGTTATATGAAAGGGAACCAGGGAACCACTATACTCTAATCTATCATGGGATAAAAAATGAATATAATCAAGAGTTCCATCAACAAGCATCTCAGTCTCTCTCTTACTGAGCCTGCACTTCCTTGCAATCCTTCAATATTTTGTTGTCTATCTTTCACACAGCCTGCACCCCTCAAGAATTAGTTGAGTCTAAAAAGATATCAGTTACCCACAGTGCAGGCCAAAGAGCACCTCCTTGAAATCCTGGTTTCTCAAGAGGTTAGGAGGTTCTTGTCTATCTAGACAAGGTTCTAGGTTCTTATCTAACTCATTTGTCTGTGCAAGATCTCATCTGGTAGCAATATTGGGTAGAGGTACTCTGTGCTCTGTTTTGTTGGTGGTGTTATATCTGCTGGGTGATGAGAAGATATCTGATCTGATAAACTGTTGGCAGGGCAGGAACTTTACAGTAGGATATGTAAAACCAGGTTTCTTGTCTCTGGCTCTTTATGGCAATGTGGGCTCAAGAAGACCTCTAATGATCCGATTCAGAGGGGAGCAAATACATTTTTTGGAGATGTTTCTTGATCAGGGCCCAGAGGCCAGGTTGTAGTTGAGGATTATACAATTATAGATTACAATCTGAACGGCATCCCCTGAGTTGGGCAGTGCAGTGGCCCTGAGTTTGTTGTGGCTATAAAAAACTGAATCAAAGTTTAGGCTACTTATAGTGTTCAAATAATAGGTAGTTATAATCTCCCCATAGTCAACATTGGCCAGACTGCATTTAGAATACTGAACTCAATTCTTAGTGCCAGAGTTTAGAAAGATATTAACAAATTAAATGTGTCCATATGAGGGAGTCTGGATGAGTTGTATGAAGATCATGACGTATGAGAAAAGCTGAAGGGGATCTGAGAGAATATGACCAAGAAGAGACACAATAGCAGAAGAGGGACTATGATTTCAACAGTTAGGTCAGCTCTGACCTCCAT